TAGTCTGAAAAAACAGGGTTGTCTTTGTGAGTGTGTACGTTGGGTGGTAGTTTACGTGCATGTTTAATCAAATCACTCAACTGCACAGTGATTTCCCCGTCCAGAACAGGGACCATGGCAAGCCAAAGCTCCCGCAACTGGACGATGACGTCACCGTGCAGTCTTCCGTCAGACTACTTTTGTCAAGAAGTTGGTTTTGTGATTTGATTATTCAGTGTTGTCTTGTTGTTATGGAGGAATGTACGTCTTTTTCCTGTCTACCTGTCTCGTGTGTATATTGTCAGTGCACTATGCAGACATCCATGTCTCCTGTCTGCACCATCTCTATCAAATATTGTTAAAATGTCCTCTAAGATGTTATTAGGGAGGCACTTATCATAGAAATTGTTTGATATTTTAAGGATATGAGTTTTGATAGGATCGATGGATGTTTGCACATGCATGTCGTTTATCCTGGCATAGCGGTTGTATCCCAACGCCTGCCTAAGACACTTATTTTGCATTGTTTGCAACTTTTGATAGTGAGAGTTTGCCATGGAGCAGTAGACTGGACATCCATATGTTAGTATTGGCCGCAATACTTGTTTGTAGAGCAATATTTTATTTTCGATGGTGACTCCACTTCTCCTGTGGAGCATGGGGTATAAGGCTTTGAACGGCTATTCAGTGGATTGTGTGTTGCTGTCGGATATGTTACTGGTCTCGTCGGTAGATTTGTAGGTTTTCGTGCAAGCATCCATGTATTCGCCTTGCCCCATCCCCTTCGTATATAGTGTTTATGTCTTCCTTCAGAAAGTCAGGAAGACAATGATTGAAGAAGTTCTCTGCCATTTTTAGAACAAAGTCTTTAATTGGTACAATGGATGCTTGCTCATGCATGTCTGTTATACGTGCATAGCGGTCGCACCCCAAGGCTAGCCGCAGACACCTGTTCTGTGTGATTTGGAGCTTTTCAAAATGGGTATTAGCCATAGAACAGTAGACTGGGCATCCATATGTGAGGATCGGCCGTAGTACTTGTTTAAATAATAGTATTTTATTTTGAGTTGTTACCCCGCTACGTTTGTGAAGTAGGGGGTATAGCGTCTTTATGGCTCCATTTGTTTTTGCAGTCCGATCCACAATATGTTGCTTGAATGTTAATCCCCTATCCAGAATGAATCCTAGGTATTTGACTTTGTTTTGTGTGTTAATTATTTTCCCTTGAACTTAATGGTATACAGGTGGGGCGCCAATACCGAGCCCTGTGGTACTCCTGCCTGTGCTATGTATGGTCCTGTAATTGTATTTTTTATTTTGATGTAGAATTGTCTGTTCTGTAGGTATTTTTGTATTATTTTTACAATGTGAACGGGGTAGTCATTCTCAAACATTTTGAATATCAGACCATCGGTCCAGACGGTGTCGAACGCCTTCGCAGCATCGAGGGCAACAAGCACCGTTTGGAGTTTATTGTTATATGCTTTCTTCGCGTTGTGAGCTATTCTGATGATTTGTGCCGTCGTGCTGCGTCCGGTCCTGAAACCGTACTGTTCCTACGGTATGATATTCTTGTCCTGTTCGTATGTCATAAGTCTTGTCAAGATGATTTTGTCTATTACTTTTGCTATGCCATTTAAAAGTGATATAGGTCTATAGCTCTGCACTAGCCTTTTATTTTTGTTCCCTTTTGGGATAGGTATTATATTAGCTCGTTTTTGTGACTCTGGGTAATATTGTAATTTTAATATGCTGTTTATAAGATAGTGAAAGTAAACTATAGCTTTTAAAGAGAAGTTTTTGATTAAAATGTTTGGGATGCCATCTGGGCCCGGAGCCCTGTTGCTTGGGGATCTCTTAATTGCTTCAGCTACCTCTTTGGGGGTGGTTAGGGCGTCCTGAGGGACTATTTGTGTATCCATATCATTAATTTCTTTACAATATTGTGTGATTTCATCTTGTTTTTGTGTATTTACTTGATTATTTGTGTAATTATCTTGGAAATATTCACCGAAAGCGGTTCCTTTTTGTTCGTCTGTCAAGCACACTTTGTCATTGTAACTCAGTGTGGGAAGTTCCGAGTACGGTTTTTTGAACCTTCTCACAATCTTCCACACCGAGTTGTCTCGTACATTTACCGCTTCCAGGGTTCTCTTCCATTTTAGATTACGAAATTCTGCAATTTCTTTCTTTATTATTTTTCCTAAGTCAAGCATAAGAACCCTGTCCGCGGCTTGTCTGTGTGTTTGCCATCGTTTTCGCAAGTTATTTTTGTGTTTAATCAAGTCCGTAATATCCTGCGGTAAATTGTCTTTTTGTTGTTTGTGTTTTATTATTTTTGTTGATGTGTTTCTTGCTGTCAGGATGGCTTTTGTTAGTTTGTTAAATTCGTCATCGAGTGTTTCTGTATTGGTAATGTTATTGTTAATAGTTATGTTTGCGTCTAGTGTTTTTCTGTACAGTTGCCAGTTTGTTGTCTTGTAGTCGTGTGTCTGTCCCTGTATTCTGGGGATTATTCGTGAAGTTTTAATCTCCAGATATACAGGGTCATGGTCTGACGCCATCGTTGTAATTGTTCTGACATTGTCTATGTTCGGTATGTTTTTAGTTACCGCAATGTCCAGTGTGCTTGGCGTCGAACCGTTGAAGGGAAAGCATGTGGGATCCTCAGGATAGTGGATTATAAAGTCTCCGCTTTCGGCGAATTCATCCAGATTTCTACCGCTTTTGTTTACCCGCGTGCAATTGGCGTCCCAATGGTAGTGTTTACAATTGAGATCCCCAAACAGCATGACTCTGGTTCCCGCCGACATGATATTATCTAATTCTAATTTTGAAAAAATGTTATTGGGTGTGTTATACACTCCAGTGAATATTATGTTGTTGCATTTAATTCGTATGTGTTCCTGTGATATATTTAAATTCCCTAGTTGTGTATATATTAGATTTCGTTTTATTAATAAGGCTACACCCCCCCATCCCTGGTCTGTCCTGTCTGATGACATCATACTCTGGTATTGTAAATTTATATGTCGATGTGTAGTGAGTCTCTGTGATGAGCATGACAAAACCATGTTTGAGAACAAAACTGCGCACAATAGATGATTTGTTACGCATCCCATTCGCATTGTAAAAACATATTTTGAGTTTGTCTTTGTTTATGTTTAGTTCCGTAGCTTGAAATTGAAGTCAATGTTAGTCATGAAGTTATTGTAAGTTTCAAAGATTTCTTTACCTGTTGTGCATTTACTCATTAGAACGGTCCGTTGTCTTACTGCTCTCGTAAGCTCGCCCAAATTTACTATGCTGTTTAACTCTTCAAACGCGTCGTTTAAGGCTGTGACACCATTTATGGCCTCACATTGGCTGTTTTGTCGGACTGTGTTGCTTGTCGTCGGCGGCTTCTGGTTTTGTGTGGCGTTCGTCGCTCTTATTGATCCCTGATCGCGAGTGGGCAGGGCTGGGAACTCTTCTTGCCGTCTGTTACGGTTACGGCTTTCCCATTGGTTAACCGTTGGAATTGGGGCGGGTACGTAATTAGTCTTTGTATGTCTTTGGGCTTTCTTTTCTTCCAATCTTTCTAACCTTTCTACGTAACTTTTACATTTTGTATAGTTAGCCGGGTGATCACCCCCGCAGTTTACACACGTGGCTGCTGTCTCTCGTGTTTTTAGACAGGTTCGTGTGTGGTGATCACCCGCACACTTCACACACTTGGCTGATCTTCCGCAGTTGGCAGTTGCATGACCCCACTGCTGGCAATTATGACATTGAACTATTTGCTTGATGGATTTTCTAAGTTCCCATACTACCCTGGTGTACAGGACTCGCCTTACATTCTTATTTAAATAATCCAATGTCATAGTGGGGTCTGTGACGATTAGTTCTAGACTTGATGTTTATAGGTATATATATGCAGCAACACTCATATCTCATAAATAGTTTATCCCCAATAACATAAACACAAATCATTCATGATAATGTATGTCCATCAAAAAGGAGAATGATAGTTTACAAATGGTATTTGTCTATTCATTTATAAAAAAAATAAAAAGAGAATAATTAACGGTTATCACATGCTGAACTCAGAATTATCTCATTGGCTAACCGTAAGGTCTTAAGTTAAGTTAAAAGTTGGCGAACTTTCTACGGTACGTTAAGTTCTTAAGTTACGTTACGAACATTAAGTATACGTAAATTTAATATTTCAACTTCTTACGTTAAGTTCTTAAGTTACGTTACGGCGGTTATAAATTAAGCTTTACTGATCTTGGCGTCACGTATCATTTAATAAGCGCACTGATAATGTTGTATCATCCTCCTATCGTAAAATACGGATTAATTGCACGTAGCAGTAGTAATTTTAAAGAAACTTCTACCTTAAAAACTCTATTTTATGCTTTTATAAGGTCAAAGTTAGAATATGCTTCAGTTGTGTGGAGCCCCTTTTATCAGTCTCATATAGATCGAATAGAAGCAATTTAAAGACGATTTTTAAAACTGCTAAGTCTGAAAACTGATGGCATTTATCCTCTAATAGGTACACCTCACTCTGAATTACTACAAAAGCATAACTTATTCAGACTCGAAAGAAGGCGTGATTATTATAGTGTAGTAGTAACTTATAAAATTATTAAAAGTATTATTGACTGCCCAACCTTATTAAGAAAGTTTAATATTTGCATTCCCAGAATTTCTTCCAGACACTCGAATACTTTTTACATAAATACATTTCGCACAAATGTTCTAGAACATTCTCCGCTCCATACCATTTGCACAATGACAAATTCTATTGTCAATGAACTTGATATATTTAGTTGCAATTTATCAGATATAAAATCCCATTTTTTATCTTAGTTAATTTGTTACCTATTACGAAATACAAGTTCTTTTTATGTGCTGAACATTCATATAAAAAACCTGTGATTTATTATTCCCTACAAAAGCGGTACCCCTTAAACACCAATTAGTATTGAGAGAAGTTTTACTGTACTTATGTTAATTGTTTGCTAATTATTTACCTCCAATATCCGTGTTATCATTGCCTTTTGATCTAATGAATCTATACTGGCCCCTGCATCAGGATAACATATCATGTGTAACAGTCGTTGAGCCTGAGAATGTGATAATAACGGGTCCAGTAGGTTGTCAACATGACATAGTTCGTCTGAAGAAAGACATCGTTCTAAAACCCATTGTTGCGAACAAATTTCTCTTAAAACATGACAAGCGAATGCTGATAAGGAGGCTGTACTTTCGGCATTTCCGGTACTTGATTGTCTAGACACAAAGAAAAATTAAAATAAATCTTGATTTTATAAACCATATTCCAAGCCTTGCATTTTTTTGATTAATTTTAATTTAAGCATTATTCAAAAATTTATATTAATATGTATTCTAAAAACATGAATGACTCAATTCTAGAAGCTATGTGTCACAGATTTTTTAAAATCTGGTTTGGTTATGACAGTTCTGACAGTTCACTTGCATGCGACATTTCATAATTTTATACAACACATTAAGATTAAAAAAATCTTGAAATTTAAAATCTATGTTAAATAAATATGATCGTAGATTTTTTTGAAAGGGTCATCATATAAACGTATATGGCGAAAAAAGGGCAAGAAAATACGAGTAAGCGATATGTAGTTGTACATGCTGGAACTAGCAATGGGTTTGTTGAAGACGCGAGTTAACTATTTTCAACAAAATCGAAGAGTGCAGACGATCACAAATCTTTTAAAAAAGTTAATACTACAGTTCTTTAATAGAAAAACTTCTCCGACCTTCGTGGACTAAATCGAAACTACAAGAATAGTTACGAAGTAAAAGAATAAGACGCTATTTAAATAGAGTTATTGAATCTTTGTGGTATGAATAAGTCACTAAACACTTGATACGAAATAGATGAACAACTGCATAAACATGCGCATCGGGTATTGCGACTACCCTAAAATCATTGTCAGTACAATCCGACTGAGTTAGTTTGGGAAGAAATTGATGGAGACCAATGATGTTAACAAAATTTAAAACGATGTTCTAAGAAAAGTAACACAGTTTGAGCCAACTGTTACTTCTAGAGCCAACGTGCATATTTGTGACTTATTTTCTTTGCATAAATATGCTATTAATTCACCAACTAAAAACCAGTACAGCTGGATCTGTATTCAACCTTGAGAGAAGAACCCCTCGTCCTTAAAATCAAACACTGACGAACGGCACAATGTTAGGACTAAACTATTTATTTACTCGTAGGAAACTCAAATTTCATACTAGTAGTTATGTTTGTAAACGAAATAAATTCATCAAAAGTTGAAAAGAGTGTTTTTTTAGCGATAGAGATATATACTCACGATTCCGAGACATGTTGACTGTTGGAAGTATAAAACTGGAGTGACGATAAGCGAAAAACGAAAGGTGGAGTGGACAAGTTATCGGTTCTTGTGTGTGGAAGGCGTGTCCAGCCTAGGTGCTATCAGGTGCGTGCCCACTCACGCACTACTTTAAAACGTTGTAGAGAAAAAACGGCCCAGCGAAATTAGAGAAGGGTTTAATATTTCTTGTAGGTGGGCACTTATCATCGAATGATCATAACAAAAATGTTAAGAAAATAGGTTTTTGGGAAGCACGTACCATTTGTAATACCTATAGCTACCAAAGCGTCTCGGTTTGAATGTTGCGCATTCGTATAAATTATTTGTAAAATTCGGTAATAACATATCCCGGGGGGAAACAGTGCTCAGTTTTAGATACATTAAACCAATCTATTGTTTTAACAAAATATTAAAAAAAAATCGTTAAAATGCAAAGCTTTGAATTTTTGTAAACCTTTGTACAAGTATATTATTCAATCCTCCTATACAAAATAAATTCATTAAGAGTAATGTTATTTACACATTTTCGTTAACATCATGCTATTTTTATTTCTAACATTTTCTCGGCGATTAGTATTAAAAACACCAAAACTTTTATGCAGCGTTTATCCAGTCAAATGGGACGCTACTATATAACAAGACACGCAATTAAATACTAAAAACTCGTTGGCGAAAATAATATATATACACTATTATTATTTTACAGAAATAATTCAGTTTAAAGGAAAGAAACTGAAATTTTTCAATATACAGGGTGTCCCGAAATTAGGCGGTCATATTTTAACATCGTAATCTACATTCTAAAATAGGAGTAAAATTTTATTTTATAAACGTTTAAAGATAACTAAGTGAAACTTGGTACAAACACTAAACTTGTTACGCTCTATTTAATGAACTGAACCCCACTTTTTGAACATCTTCATAGGTGGGTAAATTAGAAGGGGGGGCTTAGGGTAAAATTTTTTTGTTGACAGTTTTTAACATTTGAAAAACCAACCCCCTAATTTACCCACCTATGAAGATGATCAAAAACTAGGGTTTAGTCCATTAAATAGAGCGCAAAAGTTTAGCATTTGTACCAAATTTTACTTAGTTATCTTTAAATGTTTAGAAAATATTTACAAAAGTGTGTCATTAGGACTTTACTTTTAACACCCTGTATCTAGGAAACGAAATGTTTATATGAACTTTTACTCCTATTTTAGCTGGTAAAATATGACCGTTTAATTTTGGGACACCCTGTATAAGTTAATTCTTTCGTCGTTAAGTTTAAGTTTCAATATTAATGTTGTCGAATAAAGATAAATTGTTAAATAAATTAGAAGTGTGAATTATAAATTAATTAATAATGGGTGTAAAAAAATTATAAAAAAATTGTTTTAAATAAATAAACTATTTTTAAATTAAACAATCGTTACATTATTATGTGTTCAATTACAAATATTTAATCTATTATTGTCGTTATTATCGCCATTAACGTTCGATTCGCAGTTAAATACAATTTATTTATATTCTACTAAATCGTTTGATCCATTCAATCATAATTTATTGTTTTCTAAATCGAAGCAACTGCTATAAGTCAGAGCTGTTATCAGTTTATTACATTTTACTATTTGTAAAATGATTAAAAATAGGAAAAAATAAAAAAAATAATGATATTAATTTACAAAAGTTCATAAAAATAAACACACAAAAATCTGTTTTTTAAATATGCACCATTTGAAAGAATAATTTTAAGCATTTTTATTTTATATTTTATTTTCAAGGCTCATTTTTTGAAAAACAAACTGTATTTTTATTTAATCACACAATATTCCAATGGTACTATAAGTTGAAACAAAAAAATATAAAATAGCGAGTTATTGCAAGTTCACTTCAGATCAATAGAGAGTTATTGAAAGTTCACTTAAGGTCAGTTACTATTAGTGCCGTTCTTATTTTGACATCTAAGCATGCGCAGATCGTTAATGTTCTAAAACTGAATTTATTAAAGATTGTGCCTGTCCTTAATTGTGGATGTTTAAGGGCAACAGGTAGTGGCGACTTTATAGCTTTCGGGTGTGCTGCCGACATTCGTATCCGTTCGAAATTTTTTAATATTAAATATTTAATATCATCGTTACATAAACCTTCTAAAATTATAATTTCTAATGCCTCTTCAATATTATGTACCATTAAAGACAACAAAAAAGATGAACTGTAATTTAAAATTTTTAAAATGAGTTTAGAAATATGTATAAGGACAATGGCTCTAATGTCAAAATTTCAGGTTTGCAATAAGTCTTATTTTAGCATATAATTTATTTGCCTCTAATTACGTTGCCACTATTAGTGCAATATCTCTCTATTAATGGCTTGACATCTGTAATAATGACGATTTGATTAAAGGACATTGGTAACAAAAAAAAAAAATGAAAGTCACCATCACTAAATTTCTTTGCTCATACTATGTGTTACGTAGCTAACTTAATTGGGTTTGTCATCTAAAACAGAGTGATAAATTAAACACGTTATAACAAAAATGGATTTAGTTAGTGACGGCTTTTATTTTATTAGAGAGATATTGCAAATTTCTATAACACCAGCCACTATGTTATGTTATATTATGAATGGGGTGTTAATATACTGCGACCTAAAAATCTATGGTGCCCTCTTCTGTCGCTAATGCACCAAGAAAATAATAACGACCCTTCCAATCCTATTTTCTCAAGGAAGTGTAGGATTTGGAGTGGCTGCTAGTTAGGTAAATCTCCCTCTTCTATTTGATATCCTCCTAGATATAGTGCTCTTGGATTCTGGAGTGCTACAAATTCAGTTAGAATGTGAATGGAGGTTTCGTCCTCCTCCTCCTCACAGAATCTGCACCCACTATCCTCTACTATTCTCAGTTTACTAAGGTGTCCTTTTAGTTGGCAATGCCCGGTAAAGATCCCTGTTACAATACGTAGCCTGTTCTTGCTCAGGCAGATGCAGGCTTCCGATCTTTTCTGGTTATATTCACCCAGAAGTATCTTGGCCTGTCTCAGCCCCAAGAGATTGTTCCAATTATCGGTTTTTCTACTGCCCAATTCTTTTTTAATCTCTCCTAATATTATGTAGCTTAGGTCCTACAAAGGGTGCTTGAGCCCCTTTTCTTGCAAGAATATCTGCAATTTCGTTACCCTGTACCCCGTTATGTCCCGGGACCCAATTAAGAGTAACTCTATTTTTCTCGCCTAGCTCATTAAATTGTTCAAATTTCTATAACGCCAGTCACTAATAATGACATTAGTAATTAGAGTCAAATAAATTCCATGCTAAAATCAGACTTATTGCAAACCTGAAATTTTGACATTAACACGTTGACGGACACAACTGCTATAACAGTAATTTTGAATTGATCTACTGTGGCACTACTGCCATAGCAGTAGATAATTTTAGTCTTCAAATTGACACATCTGCTATAGCAGTATCGTTTCCCATAACGATACATGTTAGTTTACACCTTACTGTCTGTCCCGTGGCATATACGTTAAATTTGGGGCACTGTCACCTTAGACCAAAAAAAGGCGGGGCTTTGATCGTATGTTGTGATTTAGGAGGGAGGACTAAACGGCATCATTACTGCCATAGCATAGCATTAGCATGTGTTAGTTGTTTCGCGCCCCCCAGAGGGAAAAGAGGTTAGAAACATTTTTGAATCTTTCTAATAATACTTTTTATACGGAATTCCATAATGTGTACTTAGATATGGATGCAAAGGAGGAGGCAAGACTCGCTAAGTTATTTGCGGAAGCTAGTGACTACAGTGGGGAAAGTAGTTCCAGTGCCGATCCTTTTGAGGAAAACGACGGGGAATTTGGTGTAACAGACCCTACATTTGAACCACCGAACAGTTCTTCTAGCAGTGAAAATGAACAGGATACT